GCAATCCACCTTTCTTGGCCTCTCAAAGTGTTGGGATTATAGGCGTGAGCCACTGTGCCTGGCCTGGATCATTTTGAAATTATATTTTAACATATAAGAATGCCTGTGATGTTTTAATTCACTTGCACAATCATGTATTGAGTGCCTTCCATATTCTGGATACTGTTTGACTGCAGGGGCACTAGAATGGGTATGGCACAGAGCCTTCCCTTAAGTGGTTCACGCCTGTAATCCTAGCACTTTGGGAGGCCGAGGCGGGCGGATCACCTGAGGTCAGGAGTTCAAGACCAGCCTGGCCAACATGGTGAAATCCCGTCTCCACTAAAAATATAAAAATTAGCTGGGTGTGGTGGCACATGCCTGTAATCCCAGCTACTTGGGAGGCTGAGGCAGGAGAATCAGTTGAACCTGGGAAGTGGAGCTGCAGTGAGCTGAGATTGTGCCACTGTACTCTAGCCTGGGTGACAGGAACTCCATCTCCAAAATAAACAAATAAATAAATAAATAAAAATTAAAAAGGAAGCTCATGAGGACACAGGTCCTTAGCCAGGAGTAGTGCTGTGGTGGGAAGTCTCAGAGAACTCTGGGAGCTCCAGAAAAGGCCTTGGGCCAGCGTGGGAGTTCAGGGATGTCTCCTGGAAGAGATGTCACCTGAGCAGCATCTTGAAGGCTGACAAGGATAGCAGTGTTGAGGATGGCAAGGATGGTGGTTATTGTCCACAATACTGAACTCTTCTATAGAAACAGAGCTGATGCTTTTCAAAGAATGATAGTGGTCATAGCTCATTGCAGCCTGTGGATCTATGCGGTGGAATGATTTTCATCGTTGTTTCCTCCTTTCTTTTTTGGAGACAGAGTCTCGCTCTGTTGCTCAGGCTGGTGTGCAGTGGCACAATCTTGGCTCACTGCAATCTCTGCCTCCCAGGTTCAAGCAGTTCTCATGCCTCAGCCTATTGAGTAGCTGGGTCTACAGGCACGCGCCACCACACCTGGCTAAGTTTTTGTATTTTTAGTAGAGACAGGGTTTTGCCATGTTGGCCAGGCTGGTCTTGAACTCCTGAGCTCGAGCAATCCACCCACCTCAGTCTCCCACAGTGCTGGGATTATAAGCATGAGCCATCACTCCTGTCCTGTTTCTTCCTTTCTAATATTTTCTGTCTTATCTCTCTCATGCCTTATTATCATAATTTATAAAATGGTGTTAAGAAATAAAGATTTTTATTTTGTTTCTGTTTAAAGATAACTCTTTAATTTATCTCCATTAAGGATTATACTATTGGTACAATAATGTATAATATTTGTTCATGCAGTTAATATAGCTCCATTAAGGATTATAATATTTGTATAATAATATATAATATTTGCTCATGAAGTTTCTCATTTGCAATTCAACCTTGTGAGGTAGGTATTATTATCCCCGTTATATAGATGAGGGCAGTGAAGGTCTGTGAGGTCAGAGGTTTTGTCCTAAGTCCATGAATGGTGGGTGAGCAGTGTCAGAACCAGACCTCGTGCCTTGGTCTTTTGACTGAAATCTTCGGTCCCTTCCCTTGTGCTTCCTCGGTCATTGGGTACTTGCTTCTGCCAGAGCCAGCTGCGCTTGTTAAGGACGCTTGTTGGCAGTCTCCTCACTGGAAGTGTTTATCCATAGAACAAGTGGTGGCTTCAGCACTGCCAAACAATGCTTCTGCCCAGGCCCATGTGTTGGAGTCTTTTTGTGAGAAAGGGATTAAGTTCAAGATGCTTAGACTTCAGTGTCAGCCCTGAGCTATGCTAGTCCCTCCGAAGCTTCTCTTGCATCTTTCCCATTCTTCCCATTTATAACCTTAAGCCACCTCCTGGCTGCCCTTGTGTTTTGGACTTTGCTCTGCAAGCAGACACAGATGAAGGGGAAGGAGCTGGGCTGTGGAGTCAGGGGGACCTGGGTTTCTGCACCAGCTCCACTGCTCTCAAGCCACACGATTCGGGCACCTCACTCGGTGGAGCCGTCTCCATTTCCCATCTGGTAAAGAGAGGATAATGGTGTGTATCTCGGTGGGTTTTTGTGGAGGAATACATGAGATAGCCACGTACCCACATGGTGCCTAAGACACAGTGGGTTACTTTCCTGTTGCCTTTTCTCTGCATTTATGATTGGCCTTGAAAATTTATTCATTTTCTATGTATATTGAATGCTTATCCTGCGCTAGACACTGCAGTAGACACTGGGTAAGTAAAATAGGCGAGGCCTCTGACTTTGTGGAATTTGTAGCACAGTGGAGACAGACAGTCAGAAATCAAGTGAAGAAATAACAATGCCAAATGCAATGAAGGAATAGGAAAGGATGCTGTGGGCAGGCGAATAGGGCAGACTTCCTTCATGCTGGTTGTTAGAAAAGGCTCGCTTCCTTTGGAGGAAGCAAGAAGCAGAAGCAAGCTGATGTCTGAGAGATGAGAGAGAGGAAAAAGAGCCTAAGAGCAACAAGATCCAGATTGGATCATGAAAAATTATTCAGGAGCCAGGCGCAGTGGCTCATGCCTGTAATCCCAGCGCTTTGAGAGGCGGAGGCAGTTGGATTGCTTGAGCTCAGGAGTTCAAGACCAGCCTGGGCAACATGGTGAAACCCCATCTCTACAAAAAATACAAAAATTAGCCGAGTGTGGTGGCACACACCTGTTGTCTCAGCTACTTGGGAGGCTGAGGTGGGAGGATCATTTGAGTCTGGGAAGTTGAGGCTGCAGGGAGCCATGATCATGCCACTGCCCTCCAACTTGGGTGACAGAATGAGACTATAAATATATACGTGTGTGTGTGTGTGTGTGTGTGTGTGTGTGTGTATGTATATTCAGGTTGCTTATAAAGAGTGAGGGAAATAGGGAAGCAAGAGAGGATGTGGAGACTCCATTCAGGAGGCTGGCTATAGAAATCTGACAGGAAGTCCTGGCAGCTCAGATGAGGTAATGGTAGTAGAAATGGATAGTCACAGACATAGTTGAGAAATAATTAGGAGGGACAAACTTTCTAAAGTGTAACTTTGGTTACACTTTAGTTCCTTCTGTTAAATTTAACTAAATTAAATATAATGGTTTAAATTTAAAACTAGCATATATAACATGATCTCATTTTTTTTGTAAAATGATTTTTGTCTTTCTCTGCTTGATACATGTGTCCAAAGATATCTGGATTGTCGTTCAATAAATGTTAACTGTGGTTATTTTTGTGTGATGGAATTGTGAGGTGATTTTTTTATTTTCTTTTTTGTGCTGTACTGAATTTTTTGCTTTAAAATAATCATGGCATGTCAAAATTAAAACTATGCTAAAAAGCAAATGAAGGATGATTTTTAAAAGTTTCCGTGCTGGACCTCCAAGTGCAGCAATTGGATACGTGAGTCTGAAATTCACAGAGAAAGTCTTGACTACAGCTATAAACTTGGGCGTTGGCAGCATACTGATGATTTTGAGGCTCTTAGGGATGGATGTGGTCATCTCAAGAGACCTAAGAGAGAAAGGCGTGTGGCTCGGATGGCGCCGCGTGCATCTCTGGCACGTGACGGATGAGTGGAGGAGCCTGTAGTGGGTGGAAATGAGGTTCCCAGAGAGGAGGAACTCCCGGAGAGTCGGGGGTGCAGAGCTGAGGGCTAAGTCAGGACGGAGCTGGGCAATTTCTATAAGATGCTGGGATCTGGTTCACAAGCTAGGGTTGCCCACCTCATTCCTCAATGTCTTGTTTATCATGTACCTTCTACCTTTCTTTTCCCCAAAGCTTGCGGGTTAGGGAGCTAGCAATTACTTTCACTCTGTTTGGAGACTAAGGTTTCAAGACCTCTAGGATGTTTGGGGTTTCGCAAACAACGGGGTCTTTTGAAGAGCTGCTGACTCTCAGCAAATATAGACAGCATGCTTGGAGAACATTGGTTTTTACGTGAGCCACAAGTAGGCTTTCCGCTGAGAAATACTTTGACTTGTGAATTTAAAGAGAGTAGCAGCAGGCAGGCGGCAGTGGCTCACGCCTGTAATCCCAGCACTTTGGGAGGCCGAGGCAGGCGGATCACGAGGTCAGGAGATCGAGACCATGGTTAACATGGTGAAACCCCGTCTCTGCTAAAAATACAAAAAAAAAAAAAAAAAAAATTAGCCAGGTGTGGTGGTGGGCACCTGTAGTCCCAGCTACTTGGGAGGCTGAGGCAGGAGAATGGCGTGAACCTGAGAGGTGGAGCTTGCAGTGAGCCGAGATTGCACCACTGCACTCCAGCTTGGGCAACAGAGTGACACTCCGTCTCAAAAAAAAAAAAAAATGAGAGAGTAGCAGCTACATGTTTATGCTTCAGTATACCCAACCCAACTTGCAAGTCTTCCTCCTGATTAGTTGGCAGTCTTTCTTGCAGGGCTAACAAATTAAACCTTTAAAAACCCCATTATCTGTTGACAAGCTAAGAAGTCAGGTTTGGGGAGACAGGATGTTTTGCTCAGCTCCCCGCCTTGAGAATGGAGGACTGCTACGCAGCCAACCTCACCAGGTTGCAAAGCTGCAATGTCCCTCAGCTCTGGAGCCTGGTGATTCTGCCCTTTTCTGGTTGATTCCAGGGCTAGTGTGGATCACAGCACTCATCAGCTCATCTTGGAGCTCATCAAGCTCATGCAGGGTGGCAGCTGCAGTCTGCCCTTTGCTAGGACCTGCTTCTGTGTCCCCCAGCCTTCCTGTCAGTATCCTGGCCTTCAGCAGGGCCTCTCCACCTCTAGTGCTTCTCATGGCACCACCTGCTCATCAGGACCCCCCAGTCTTCAGCTCTCAGTACCAGGAGGGCCCTGTGTGCCCCTGGGTTGCTTGGCTGCTTCCTGTCTAGTAGAACCATTCTCTCTGCTTTTCTAATACTTGCACTTCTACACTTGTGCCTCTGCACTGATATTTGCGTGAGGAAGTTGGTTTTTTAGGTCGTGCAGTGCATTTAGAGATAGGGTTTGAAGGAAGTAGGCTTGGATGTGCATCTGATTAGTTTTCCAATTTTCTCCCCTTCTAGGTAATACTTTCTAATATTCAAAACAGAAGCCCTAAGCCTGGCCCTGCTCCCCACGATCAAGAACTAGGTTTTTTCCTAGAAACAGGACTTCAGAGAGCCCATGTCCTCTATTTCAAAAATGGGTAAGCCTTCTTCATTTTTTTAATCCACTTCCTAAAGAAGGAAAGTAGAAAGCCTTACAATGCTGTCTCCAGTTTAGTTATCATAATAAAGGAATTTTAAATATGAACTACCATTGGAACTTTTTTTTTTAAGAATGAACATTGGCTGTTTTTGTCTCTTCTCTACCTGGCTCTCTTGCTTTCCCATGAGATGTGAAGGTGGGAGAAGGGAGGGAGGGAACCCAAGTCACAAGTACACAGCCCCAAAACCAGTGGGGTTGGCCTGACGGGAGCCACGCCTTCCCACGCCCTCCCTCCATGAATGGCTCTGCACGGGCCTCCCCATTTGTTAAGGAAAAAGTTAATGAATTGGAAATCCTGGCACACAGGAGCATCACCCTTTCAGGGGCTGATCATTCAGGGAATTGAATTTGCCAAATCTCAGCCAGTTTTTATGAAAGTGAGTGTGGCTTTGAAAAGCCTTTTACGAAAGGTTGAAGGACATGAATGGGAGGGGCAGCTCTCGAGTGCATTTGATGTTTGTTTTCCTTTTTGTGTTGCTCTTGTGAGAAATGTGCTGATTCTGTTCCAAATCTCTTCAGTTATCCCTTATTTTGACATTGTGCTGCAGGATAGATGTGCATGAAGACCAACAGTAGGTATCTGGTTCCTCTGTAGCACCCCTGTAGGCTTTGCATGGGAGGCCCCTAGAGGCGTATTCCCCTCCTCTAGAGTTAGTCCAGTAGTGCTTTGAATGGCAGAAGGGACCCAAGCCTCAGGCTCTGGAAAAATGAACAATGGAGTTGCTCCTTCTTCATTTTTAAGAGCTTCAAACCTTGGGGTGTAGCTCATGAAACTGGGATTTCATCTGCCTAGTGACCCAGAGCCGCATGCATCTATTTCCCATTAGTTGAAAATAAATGCCTATTTTTCAAGTCCTATTAAACTGCTTGTGAGAGAAGGCCTGCTTTGGTCCAGAGGCCTCTGACTGAGCTCCACATGGCCCACAAAAGGCCGTGACACACACCCCAAGGTTTGCAGCTGCTCAATGGCCTTGGCACAAAGATGCTTTTGCATTCGATCTCATCTGCCACTGATTGAGATCATTTGAGCAATGGTGCACGTCCCCTAAGCTAAGATGAAGTTCTGTTTTCTTTGCTGTTATAAATAGAAGGAGAAGGGAGGGAACATGGAATATTTTTCTAGTGATGTTGCTTTTCCCTTTTCACGGCAAATGGTGGTCATCACAGAGGAGCTCCCAGCCCTTGCCCTCCTTCTCTCTAACCTGTGTCTGTATGTGTTAATATGGAGGTCCAGACCCAGGAATTAATCTCCCTGGGGGTCCCAGAAGTGCCATACCGGTACGTTCAGTTGAAAATGTTTTGTGTGAGATTCATAAGAGTGGGTTGGATAATTTATTTTCATCTTTGAAGCCTGTTCCTTGGGGAGAAAGGAAGACTACTGGGCCCTGAGACACTGGCTGCCCACTGGAATCCAACTAAAAAATAATGATGAGAGGTCTGCACTAGGTGATGGATTCACGTGCCACGGATTGCTTACTGGCTCATTTCTCATTTTGTTTTACTTTACTCAAGTTCAAGGAAATGCCTGTTGATGTAGCCTTGAGGGACGGCTTAACTTTGAAGCGTTTTCTCTTTTCTTGTCCTCCTGCTCTTCTCTCTGGGCTCTAAAGACCAGTGATGAGATTTTGGGCCAGGTACTGTCACTCTTTTTTTTTTTTTTTGAGACAGGGTCTTGCTATGTTGCCCAGACTGGTCTTAAACTCCTGAGCTCAAGGGATCTGCCTGCCTCGGCCTCCCAAAGTGTTGGGATTACAGGCGTGAGCCACCACGCCCAGCCCGCTGGGCCAGGTACTCTCAAAGGTCCCTGCTAGCTGCAGTCCCTGCTAGCTGCAGTCCCTGCTGCCGCTAGCTCAAGGCTGGGATGGTACAACAGTAGTGAAGAATTACTTTTAGGAGGTGGAGGTGAGGGCCGGTTTGGGGGCCACAGAATGTGGACCAAGGAGAAAAATCATTGGGAGATTTTGAATATGCCAAGTGCTGTCAGGGCGGCTTGATCCATACCAGTAGGCTACTCAGGGCCTGAGGGCCACGGCCAGGGCTTATTTGTCGGTGGATGCCTACAGCAAGCGGGAACAGAATGGAGGTAACTGCTGTCCCTAAGCACCAGCAGCTTCCCACACTTCCTTGTCATGTACTTGCTCCCAGTTGTCTCATTCCTTTTGCTTTTCTGCAGTTTTCTTCTGTGTATCTGGAAGGACATAATGGACGGGATTAACTGATTTTCAATAGTAGGAAAATACACTAGAGTTTGGCAATAAGAGATGGAATTGATGAAACACAATGTTTTTCTTTAGAAATATACTTAAATGTATACTTAGCTTTTTAGTTGTCGTTCCTGAGGACTCACTGAATTACAGTCTTGAATCTGATTCTTCTACAACTCTCCCATCTTTTCCAGAAGTCACTGCTGAACTGGTGGACTTGGGCATCTCTTTCAGAAAACCTGATGCCAGGACCAGTTCCTAGGCCCCTTCTGATGTGTTAGATCCAAGGGCTGCTTTTCATTTTGGCTTAAACACTTGTCCTTCATGGTCACTGGTCCTCACAGCGTTGCCACTCCACCGTGTGCAGTGGGCAGTGTGAGCACTATTGCCCCTATTGTTAAGAAAAATTTAGACTCAGTTGTGCCTTGCTGCAGGTCACACAGTTCCTTGGGCTCCAGTCCTTTCATCACTGTGCCACTGTGTGGGAAGTGCTGCCTCTCGGCGTGGAGGGAGTCGATGGGAGGGATTAACTGTCCATCGCCCTCCCTCTGTGAGGGAGCACTTGACCTCCAGGATGGGACATCGCCCACAGCCAGTTCCCAGCCTCTGTTGGTTTGGTGATTTCTCCTGAGGCTTTCCCTTGGGTCTCACCTACAGCGCGTCGCAAAGCATCTCTTTCTCCTCCCCCTCCTCCCTCGGCCTCCCTTTCTGGCTCCTCCTCTTCCCTCTCCCACCCCGCTTTTTCTTCTCCTTCCCATCTTTTCCTTCCCCTGCTTCCTAGTTCTTCTCTTCCTGGACTCCCTCTTTCCTTATGAGGCGGGAGAGAACAGCTGGTTGTCATCCTGGCCGGTAACTTCCTCCGCCTCCCAGTCCCAAGTCTCTGGGCACGGTCCGACTTGGAATGTACCCAGATCCATTTCACATCTATTTCTCTTATCCCTCTGGGTGGCAGCAACAAGCCTGTTAAGGCTGAAAAAAACATCTTGTTGAGGCTCCGCAGAGGGTGAAAGCAGAACAGTAGCCTCAGAGGGCCAGGATGGCTGCCTCTGAGGGCTCTAAGTCGCCTCGCCACGGCAAGCGCTTGTGTGAGGGCAGCTCGGGTGCCGGGTTTGGAACCAGCCCTTTCTTCCTCTGGGTCTCAGGTTCTTTATCTGGGTAGTAGAGTGAGTATCACTCACCTCGTAGGGCAGTAGTGAGGAGCAAATAAAAATATACACATGGAAGCACCTCATGGAGTGTCAGGCAAACAGCAGGAGGTAAATTGTGACTTCCAGTGGTGACGATGCCTGGCTGACTTACCAGCTGAAAGTGGGACCAGATTAAGGTCACATCCTGGTTGAAGTGAGAGTTTGTGGAGAAGGAGATGACTGAGCTGGACATTGCCAGGGCTTAGAGGCAGGGCATTTCTTTACAGTGGCTGCTGGCTTAAGGAAATGCTGCTCAAGATGCATAACCATGAGTTTGGATAACATTCTAGTTACTTTCAGAGAAAATAGGTGGGACTGACTGGTCTGACTGCGGTAGCACAGGGTATTCATTTCGCAGCCCAGCTAGCAGTAGAGAAACGGCTTCACCCTCGGGTTCCCCTCAGCCTTCTGAGAAGACAGTGTTACTCCCTACTTGAGTCATTGCCGCCAGAATTGCCAGAGAAGCTTGATTTGGGCATGTCAATCAATTTTGGATTTTTACTTCTTTATAGAATCAAGGTCTTATTCTGTGACCCAGGCTGGAATGCAGTGGTACGATCCTAGCTCACTGCAGCCTTGAACTCCTGGGCTCAGGTGATCCTCCTGTCTTGGCCTCCCAAAGTGTTGGGATTATAGGCATGTGCCACCATGCCCAGCTGGGATGCCAATTAGTTACTGCAGGTTGCTTTAGGAATATTTACCCATCTTTTGTAAACAAAGGGTAGCAAAGCACATTTAAAGTAAACTTGCTTCTTGTTAGCTGTGTCAGGTGTCCTGGGTAAGCAAAACGGATTGTAGTGTGTTTTCCACTGGCTTTGAATTGATTTTAATTCAGGTGGGGTGGAGATAAACTGATGCAAAAGGCAAATGACTGTCAGCTGGGAGATGCACCCATTGGGTTGTACCATTTCCTAGGTTACATCCCCGCATGCTGCATGGGAGGCCTTGACTCAGAAAGCAGGAAGTCAGGCAGGGATGGTTCAGACCTTGGGCCCCCCTCAGGTACTTGCAGCCAAGCCAGGGAATAAAGTAGTATGGGAGGGTTTATAATCAAACAAATAGACCACTCACCACTATGCGTCGACTTTAAAAAGCTTTCAATCTTCCCATATAATCTCTTTGCAATTGTTTAGCCCTGCTCAGTGTAACCTAGACTTAGAAGGCAGGAAAAGGAGTCCAAGAGGCCCTTCTGTGTCCTATGGGCTGCTGAGGTGTGTGCTTCCTGGGCTTATGTCTCAGATACGGCAGCAGCAGCAGCAGACAGGCTCCCATGTCCAATGTGATTGTGGGGAGGTGATCATGGCAAGGGCGCCCGCCAGGACGTGAGTGTGCTTTGCTGGATGCAGTTGTCTCTCTGGGTGCTTGAGCAACTTCGCCTTTGCATTCTGGCCTTCCGGAGGTCATCTTCCCTCTTGCAGTGGTAACATGTTCGCGTTTAAAACTGCACACTACTTTTGACAGTGCAAGTCCACTGCAGTGAACGTAAGAGAATTCACACACATTTCCTGTAAGCATTTAATAACCATCACTTTTTTGTACACAACCCTCTTCAAGAGATACAGAGATGAAAAGGAAATGGGCCTTGTCATCTGGGAGATGGTAGAGAAAAGAAAAAAAGGCGAAGACATAAACATTAGTAACTGTAAAGGTTATGACGTGGTTCTATAAAATAATAAACAATGAAAGAACACCTGATCATGTAAGGGAGCTGAAGCTTCCAGGCCCATTTAGTCATGCATGATGCTGTTATCGGCTTGGCTTCTGGGGAGGCCTCAGGAAATTTGCAATCATGATGAAAGGCAAAGGGGGAGCAGGGCCATCACATGGCCAGAGTAGGAGCAAGAGAGCGAGGGTGAAGTGGGGCACCACACACTTTTAAACGAACAGATCTCATGAGAACTCACGCATTATCATGAGGAGTACCAAGGGTGATGGTGCTAAACCATTCATGAGAAATTCACCCCTATGGTCCAGTCACCCCTGACCAGGTCCCATTTCTGACACTGGGGATTACATTTCAATATGAGATTTGGGTAGAGAAACACATCCAAACTGTATCACAGGGCCTACGTGAGGTTGTGGGGACAAGTGATGAAGAGAAGAGAGAAAGCCCCTGCCCTCCTAGAATTCATGGAGAACTGAGTCTCATGGAGAATTAGGAATTAAAATAAGCCGTTTCAG